GCAGTAAGCTGGTCCCCAAAAAAAAAACACAAACAAACATACAAAAGAACCACAACCAAAAAAAAAAAAACACTTCTACTGGTTATTTAATCACTTTTTATTTGCTCACTTTTGATTTTCCTGTTGTATTGGATTATGTGCAGAGACCCACGCTCTAAACCCTGGTGTTTGACCTGCTATTGGACACAGACACTTCCCGCCTACCCTGCCGCACTCTCACCCCACTTCCTTTCATCCTGTCACCATCATACCACATCAATCACAGCCTCCTGCCCCTGAGCCCCTCTCGAAGGGCACAGAGTAGCAGGGGCCATGATTCTCAAGGTCCTTTTGCACAAAAACATAGGCCCTAGCAGCTAAGGGTGTAATGTCTGGAGTTAGTCCAGGACTCCAGCCCCGGCTCCGAGTCCAGGCTTAGGGACTGTGTCTTCAGAGAGAAGCCGCTTCACTTCTCTAAACATCTGCTGGGCCAATGGCGAAGCAGAGCTAAAAATAGTGCTGATTCCAGAGGCTATTTTTAATGCGCTAATAATAGGCAGAAGTAGCTAACAGTTTTGAGGCCTGATTGTACCACTATGTGTATTATAATAATGTCTGGTACCAAGTGTGCTGAGGACAATGCATTCATTCATCTAACTCACAAGGGGTGTGCACTGCTCATTCACTTGCCCAGAACCCCTGACACAGTGCCAGGCACGTCACTGCTCTTGGGCAGTCCCTGGCCAGGGACATGTGTGTCCCCACACACCTCTGCAGCTCTCTGTTCCCATTTCACCTCTTGCCACTTGGCTGCCTTTCTCTTAACCGCCCCTAAAACTCTGCTTGAGTTTCAGTGAGGGCTCAAATAATCTAAACCTACATATCGTGCACATCAATTATCTGAGTTGAAACTCAGGAGCTCAAAAGGCAACTTTGGGGGATGAGGCTCAGGCCTGGAATGCACAGAGACCCTAGTTCCCAGCAAACACGTCTTGCCGATCCCTGCTGTGGGTGACACAGAGGGTCCCCAGTTCTCCCAGACCCCCGCATCCCCATACTGGACCATCCAACCCAGTTGAGTGAGGGTCACTGGGAGTGACCTCCAGACACCCTGCTGGGGATGCCCCCCAAACTTTCTGTTAACTAAAATATCTTTTATAAAGGAAGCAGCAAGTCTGACCTTCAATTTAACCATTAAGTTAACCATTTATTACTTGCTTGGTGGTCTGTATGGGAGTTAGAAGTAACAAGTCTCTGGGCTTTGGTTGTTCTCAGCTCATAAGCTCCCGAGGGGCTGGTTGGGGATGGGGTCTCCCTAAGCTCCCGAGAGTGCACAGAGCTTGCCCTGAGGATGGTCAGCTGAAGCCTCTTCCTGTTAGGGTTCACCCTGCTCCCCTTTCACTCTGGCTCCCTTCTGAGGCATTGTATGAGCTTTGGATGCTAGGTCAGCCACAGCCTTCAGAGAAATTGCAGGTGGCACCCCCTTCTCTGAGTGGCGCTTAGTGGCTTGGGGGTTTCGGGGCTCCTCCCTGCTGTTTCCCCATGTGGGCAGCTCCCCGGGGACCTTGACTTCTCTCCCCTGCTTTCCTAGAACACAGGTCATATCTGCTGAATGAATGAATGAATCCAAGCCTGGCATGCACCTCCCATCTTTCTCTTACTTCCTCTCTGGGCCGGCCTCCCTCCTCTGCACCCTTGGCCTCTTGAGTCCCTGGAGCAAACCCTGCTCCTGCCTCTTCACTCGAAGCCTCCCAGGCTTGGTTGACTCAGCACCTAACCTGTGACTCCCACGGGTCACATTTCCACAGGTCAGTCTGTCTCTGACCTCTTGGGCCCCTCTGGATTCCCACAGCACTTCTCAGGGCTTCTGAGGAGGGGCTTTGCTCTTTCACTCAGATCTAGTCAGGAGGGCTCTTTACTGCCTCCCTTCAGGCTGCCTGGGGCTGGGTTTATTGATTTATTTATTTACTGACACACAGTTACAAAGCTGTTCACCATTGTGTTTCAATCACACAATGTTCCTACACCCATCCCACTCCTACATCTATCCCTGCACCAGTGTAATTTTTCCTACCATCAACGTTCCAAATACCTTCCCCCCAGCCTTTTTTGGCATCTCTCTCTCTCTCTCTCTCTCTCTCTCTCTCTCTCTCTCTCCCCCCCCCCCCCTTTGGACATTACGATCTTCAGTACAGATACTGAAAGGCCTTCATGTATATCCCTTTACCTGCTTTCAACACTCAGTTCTTGTCCAGAGTGATCATTTCCAACTATTAGTGTCATATTCTTGTCATACTGGTTCCTTCTTTATCCTAACTGTCCTTTATGCTGCCCCACCACCACCCACACACACATACTTGTGCCAAACTTCCAGCCATTGGCCAGTCTTCCTGGCCCTTGTTTTCCCTGACCTTGAATATTCTGCTCATATTATTTTTTTTATATCCCACAAATGAATGCAGTAATTCTATGTCTGCCCCTTTCTTTCTGACTCATTTCACTCATCATATTTATACTCTCCATATCCATCCATTTATAAACAAATTTCATGACTTGATTTTTCCTGTGACTGCATAGTATTCCACTGTGTAGGTGTACCATAGTTTCCTTATCCAGTCATCTGTTCTCAGGCACTCAGGTTGTTTCCAGATTCTGACTGTTTTGAATAGTGCTGCAATGAATATAGAAGTGCAGGTGGTGATTCTGTTGTGTGTTTCTGGGCTCCAGAAAATATTCCCAGAAGTAATATTGCTGGGTCCAACGGGAGCTCAATCTCTAGTTTTTGGAGCAATGTTCCAGGCTTGGAGAAGAAGGGCCAGAGCCATCAGATCCAGCTTCAAGAACAAGCAGCTCTGAGCAGAACCTTGGGACACCAATGGGACTCCCCATGGAGGGAACACTGGTAATCCCGGGCCTTGGGGTTTCTAATACACACTCCCCAGCAAGGCACTGTGGTCCAGTGAGTTCCAGTTCCATTCAATGACATTTTTTCACCCAGAAGAGATCTGGAGTGTTGGGGATCCAACAGGGTCAGCCTCTAGTTGGGCAAGGGCCGAACCAAAGAGCTAGATATGACTGTCTCCTGTTCGCTCTCCCTGTTTAAAATAGAAATAAATAAGATTAGAAAGTAAAGATAAAAATATAGATAGAGGTCATGCATTTACGTGTATTTTTCTTTGGTAAAAATGATATCAGCTTGATATGTTTATTGAAAAAATAAAACATACTAAAAAAGAAAACTGGATCCATGTAATCTCTTACCACCCAGATTTAAACACTTATTTATTTTTGTTTGGTTGACTGGTTGGTTGGTGTTGGGGGCCACACCCAGTTGTACTCAGACTTACTCCTGGCTCTGTGCTCAGAGGTCACCCCTGGTGTGGTTAGAGAAATCAGGAATTGAACACTGGCCAGTTGTATGCAAGCAAGGGCCTTACTCATGGTTCTAGCTCTCTGGCCCCAAGCACTCAAATATATATATATATATATATATATATACACACACATACACATATATATACATATCACTGTATCACTGTGTCACTGTCATCCCATGGTTCATCAATTTACTCCAGTGGACATCAGTAAAGTCTCCATTCCTCCCAGCCCTGAGATTTTAGCAGTCTCTCCTTACTCGTCCTTCCCAACGCTGCTGTATTGGAGGCTCTTTCATGGTCAGGGATTGAGACCCGTTATTGATACTGTTTTGGGCATATCGAATACGCCATGGGTAGCTTGCCAGTCTTCGTGGTGTGGGCGAGATACTCTCAGTAGCTTGCCAGGCTCTCCGAGAGGCATATATATAAATGTATATTTCCCTCTATGATTTGTTGCCTACTGTCTGAAAAAAATATATATACATATCACTGTATCACTGTAACACTGTCACACTGTCATCCTGTTGTTCATCGATTTGCTCGAGCGGGCGCCAGTAACATCTCCATTCATCCCAGCCCTGAGATTTTAGCAGTCTTTCCTTACTCATCTTTCCCAACGCTACCATATTGGAGACTCTTTCAGGGTCAGGGGAATGAGACTCGTTATTGTTACTGTTTTTGGCATATCAAATATGCCACGGGGAGCTTGCCAGGCTCTGCCATGCATATATACATATAGATATTTTATATATAAAATACATATGAAAAAATATATATACATATATATTTTCCCCAAGTAGGAACACCTCCCAATATGAGCTCTCATGAGCTCTGAATGAGAGCTTCTCATGAGCTTCAGATATGGGGGGTCTGAGTGTGCAGATTGGCATCTTCTCATTTTCCCCTCTCCTTAGCATCCTACACTCCCCCACTCCATTCCAGAGACTGTTTCTCTCTCCCTGTGTGCAGTGGCTCCCTCAACAACTGCCCCACTGTTCATTTATAAACGGCTGTTCTGTGGTATTGCTAAGGCGGCTGTGAGCAAAGCCTCTGCCTGCGTCCCACCCTTTCATGGGACGCTTTCCTTGTCAAGGAGAGAAGGAGCCTTCGTGCTCTCCGTGCTTACTGCCAAGTGGTTCTCAGCGCCATGTGCCAATGCCCTCACCAACTGCGCTAGCGAAGAGCCTTTGATTCTGTGACAGCAGCAACCCCTTGTCCCTGAGCTGTGCGGGGATGAGGAGCTCCTCCGTGACAGCCTCCCATCCTGACAATGGTCCCTGGCCCTGCCTGCCTCGCTTTGCTCTGCACTGCCCCTGGCTCTGGCTCTAAGCTTGACTGGGGGTCAGGGAGGGGGCTGGGGGTCGAGGGTATACATTTGGTCCTCTTGGGGTTCCAGGCTGCCTTCAGAAACAGGGTGCAGAAGGGGGTGAGCAATGTGCCTGTTGTAGGGGGTTACCTTCCTCCAGCCATGGGGAGAGGGTGCGAGTGTGGAAGGCTGCTGAATCAGCGTTTCAAGATCCCCTCCCCCCACCCCGTCCTGGGTCTCTGAGCCCAGAACAGAGGTCTGCAGCTTGGGAGGGAAAGTGGGGCCCAGCCCACAGCCCACCCCATGGTGTGCAATTGTCCTCTGTCTCCTGACAGGCTCTACAGTCCCTTCATGAATCCTCGGAAGAAGGTGGATCTGAAGCTCATCATAATCGGATCCCTGGGGTAAGCCCAGCTAGGCGGGGATGGGGGCAGCATCAGTCTCCCCAGTGCTGAGACCTCCTGGCTGGGTTGCCACTCCTGGCACCTTTCCTGGTCCAGGGTGACACCCAGGAAGAGAGGTCAGTTGGTAGGAACAGACCAGGAGTTAGGCTGTGACTCGATCTCCCTGGTTACCACTTTGTCCCCTCCCCAGGGCACTGATTCCCTCCAAGCCTTCTGCCCACTTTGGTCCCTGTTTCTGCAAACCCATCTCTGGGTCCCAGCTGCTTAAAGCATGTCCTTGGTGTTAGAACTTCAGCATCTCAGGCACCAGAGAAGGGCACAGGGTAAGGAGTATGCCATCCCTGGCCATGCATGGTGTCCAACACTGCAGGTTCTGGCCCCTAGCACGTGTGTCCTGGGCCCCATTGGATGAGAATCTCTGGGTCAGGCCTTCGGGTCTTCAGAGCACTGTTCTGAGACTTTCCTCAAAAAAGAAAGAAGTAGAGAATCTTAGGCAGCTAGAGGCAGGAGAGGGGGTCGGGCAAGGGTGCAGGATCAGCGAGGGGAGTGTGTGTGTGTGTGTGTGTGTGTGTGTGTGTGTGTGTGTGTGTGTTCACTGGGTCTGCGGGGCTCCCCAGGGTGGGGAAGACTTCGCTCCTCCACCGGTACGTGCACAAGACGTTTTCCGAGGATTACCAGACCACCCTCGGGGCCAGCATCCTCTCCAAGATCATCATCCTGGATGACACAACACTGAAACTTCAGGTAAGCCCCTTCCCTCTTTAACGAACAGGTCTGAGAGTCAGGGCCCACAGACAGGAATGTGCCAGGGGATCTAGAAAGATCTAGAATGCGGGTTAGTGAAACTCAACTTAGAGGCCAGCCTGGTTCTCCTTACTGGATAGACAAAGTCTGGTGGGAATGCAGACTCCCCTCCAGCTGCTTCCAGTCTGAGGCTGCTGTCCCCACTCCACCTACACACCCCACCCCACTGCAGGGTGGAGTCATCTCACCAGCAGCTTCAAATATTTGTTATCTGACTCCAAAAATAACTTCCTGGTACTGGTGGAGGGAGTGCGCTAATCCAAGCATAGATACATGCCTCTCTTACACTTTGTGGGTGCCTCAGCTCCCAAAGTCCCCAGTTTCCAAACTGACCGGTGTGAGAACCAGTGCCTACCCTAACAGCCCAGGGAAAACTGAGCTTGGGTGGAGTCATACTCTTGGGATGCTGGTGCAATTATAAGGGCACGGGCATGCACATATCAGCAGATCAGAAATACCCACAAGATAAAGGTATGGAAAAGGAAGCTTTTGGACCCAAATGGGCCCCTCAGGCAACTCCCCTTGACCCATGAATCACTGATCTGCCCCCTCCCCCCAATCCCAGATCTGGGACACAGGTGGACAAGAGCGGTTTCGTTCCATGGTGTCCACGTTCTACAAGGGCTCTGATGGCTGCATCCTGGCCTTTGATGTCACTGACCTGGAATCCTTTGAAGCCTTGGAGACCTGGAGAGGAGATGTCCTGGCCAAAACCATTCCCATGGAGCAATCCTACCCCATGGTGGTGCTGGGCAACAAGGTCGACCTGGCCGAGCGGCAGGTATCATTTCGTTCCCTCATTCCCCAGGCGTGGTGTGAAGACCTGTGCCAGCCACACAGACCTGCATCAGTGGGTCCTCGGCATTCACAGCCTACGGTGGACTCAGCACTTTAAAGGGCAATCGTGATGCTGTATGATGGCAGGTGCAGCTATAGACCTTGGGTTCTGTCTCCAGGGAAAGGGCAGCCACTCAAACCCAGACTACAGAAAGGCTTCCTAGGGGAAGAGGTTCCAGGCTGTAGAAAGAGCACAAGCAAAGGAACTTTCTAATGTGAGCTGAGACCGAAGGAGGTTTTGCTTTTGTTTTATATGTTAGGTTCTCTTGCGAACAATTTTTTTTTTTGCTTTTTGGGTCATACCCAGTGATGCACAGGGGTTACTCCTGGCTCTGCACTCAGGAATTACTCCTGGCGGTTCTGAGGGGACCTGGGATGCTGTGAATCAAACGTGGGTCGGCTGCGTGCAAGGCAAACACCCTACACACTGTGCTATCCCTCGAGCCCCTCTTGTGCACAATTTTTAGTGTTTTACTTTATATATGTTGGAGACCCTGTCCCCTCCCCTGACCTCCATCGTTGTTGTGATCGGGTTGCCCGCAGCCCTGGCAGGGGTGCCCACAGAGTTTTCATTGTGGTGGTGTGACAGCAGGTTGTGGTGCCAGCACATTCTGCAGCAGTGCCCACGAGGTCTGCACTGCAAGCTTCTTCTTGCACATGTGCTCATAGGGATCGCAAGCTGAGTTGATGTGCACAGATTATCATCTGGCTTCTCGCACACGAGTTCACCAGAGTCACGCTTCCTGGCCAGGAACTATCACACGCCTTTGAGATTTGTGGTACTCAGTGAGATCCCGTTGCAGTGCCCACATATGTCTGGCTGTGGAGCTACTGGAAATCACTAGTGGCACTGGGGACCATAGGAACAAGAGCTGCCGGAGCTCCTGTTCCCTCTGCCCTGTGTCTTTCACTGAGATCCCTCAAGTGGATGTTGGTCACTGGTGAAGTTCCCAAGTCCCAGAGCTTTCCAAGTGGGCTTTGTTCTTCTGCTTTGAAGTAACGGTGCATATGATTAAATCAGCTTTCCCTCAGTCAAGGGACTCTGTAGAGCAGGGCTGTGTAAGCAATGGGAATGGGCTGGGAGGCACCAGCAGGAGGGCCAATGGCTACATGCTAAGAACTCTAAGGATAGGACACGCGTGAGGTCAGAGGAAATTGATGGCAAAGGGGCCATATCACAGAGTGGGCATCAGAACTGGACATCTGACAGAGGGCCAGGGTCTGGCCGGGAAGAAGTTAATGTGGAGAAAAGGCTAAGAGTGTCGGAGGGATGAAATGTGGGTGTTGTGAGAGGTGGAGTTCCATGGTGAAGGTCCTCCAAGTATTCATGTAGTGAGGGGCCCAGCAGGATGGAAAGTGCGGACCGACTGGGAAGGGAAATGGGCCCAAGCCAAACTCAGGCATGAACCTTGTTCTGGAAGAGAAACAGTGAATTGATTGGCGGTGTAGCTCAGAAGCTGGGCATTCACTTTGCACATGTAAGACCTGAATTCTACATGCACTACAGCTAAACAAATGAAAGAAAGAAGAGAAGAAGAAGAAGCAGTACAGATCCAGGCAAGTCCAACCACTTCTCTGAGATCTAAGTTGGGTAGGGTGCAGAAATAACTCCAGGAGGAGGGGTGCAGAGGACTTTAAAGGCAGAGGTGGGGCCAGAGGGATAATGCAATGCTTGTCTGAGCAATACCAAGAGTGAGCCCTGAGCACAGAGCCAGGAGAAAGCCCTGAGCAAAGCCTGGTGTGTCCCCCAAAGCAAACGAAAAACCTTTTCTTTTTTAAGCCAAGAGGTAAGGCTGACTTTGGGGTTGGGAGTAAGGGACATGGGGGTGTTTAGGGGACTTGATGAGAGGCGTGTGTTAGGCTTGGAGAGGACAATTGCCCCTTCCTCAGGGTAGACCCAGGAGGAAGCTGCGGGCACCCCCTCTCCGGACTCCAATGCAGACACAGTTGCACAGAGTGTTTGAGGAGCAAAGGTAATGTTGTCCTCAACAAAGCACAGGAGCAAATGCTAGAAAAGGGAAGCTTTACTGGCAAGAGAACAGTTTAAATGGGAAGAGTGCCCACCAGCCTGGGCTGGAGAACAAGCCTCAAGAGAGGAAGAGGAGTCGAGATGGCACAGCTTATGCATACCCTTGTAGTTTTGGGGGTTTTTTTCCAGATAGCTAATACATATTGAGCAAGCAAAATGGAGGAGCAGGCAATGAACATATACAGGTACACAGTTTCAGGAAATGGCAGGGAATTGTTGTAGGTGTGCTTTCTAGTATGGTGATGAAGATTGAGAAGACTAGAGATTGAGGGCTCTGCCTGCAGTCCCACTGGTCAGACCTGGCCAGCCAGGGGTCTGGGGTCCTCGTCAGTGCAAAAGTTCCTCAAGTTCTACCTTGTCCCATTCAGGGCCAAGAGAACCTGGGGCAGCTTCTCCCAGGGACAGAGTGTCATGCCCTCCAAACAAGCCCTAAGACAATCCATTTTGCTTTTCTAACTCCTGAGAGTCCTTCTCAATTTTTGTGGGAAATAGAAGGACAAAGTTGAAAAAAAAAAAACACCTTGACAGAGCAATGCCTATAAAAAGCACATGGGAAGTTTAATCAATGGAAATGATGATTCTCCTTATTCTCTCCCAAACATGAAGCTGAGGAGATAGGGAGGGAGCTTTCCCCTCTCAACAAAAAGAAAATGACCCTCTAAAACCATATTGCTAGATTGGGGATGATAAAAGGTCTTGGAAATGGGAAATGTGCTTAATGCCATAAAGTGCAGCTCTAGGTTTATGTCTATTTTATCACAATAAACATATATATTGCCATAATGATTTTTAATAGATTACTGACTTAGGTTTTTTTTTTTTTTAAGGTTTTTGCTTGTTTGCTTTTTTTTATTTTTGGCTTTTTGGGTCACACCCAGTGATGTTCAGGGATTACTCCTGGCTCTGCCTGCACTCAGGAATTACTCCTGGCGGTGCTGGCAGGACCATAAGGGATGCTAGAGATTGAACTCAGGTCTACCATGTGCAAGGCAAACTCCCTATTCACTGTGCTATCGCTCTAGCCCCTGACTTAGTTTTTTTTTTATTTAAACTTTTTATTTATGATTTTGGTCTGGGGTCCACACTCAGGGGTACTCCCAGCTCTGTGATTGCTGCCTGCTCTTGGTCTGCTCAGGGAACCATGCGGTGCTGGGGGTCAAATCCCGTCATCCTACACATTGAGGTCTTATTCTCTGACTCTGACTTAGACTTCTTTAAATTCCTTGCTCCTTCTGGTAATAGTAAAAGAGTATTAGTTGCTTAAAATGACAGATTTGGGGCTGCAGAGATACTAGATACTAGAGATAATAGAGTGGGTAAGACGCTTGCTTGGTACACGGTCGACCCAGGTTTAATCCCCAACACCTCACATGGTCTCTCAATCCTTGCAAGGAGTGATCACTGAGCAATAAGCCCCAGGCACTGGTGAGTTGACCTCTTCCACCTTCTCCCCCACCCCCACCCCCAAACAGAATTTAGCCTGCCAATAGAAGCTTCTAAACATACTGGGCCTACTGCCCCCTCTTTCAAAATATAATAAAAATTACTTAGCATGCTCTAAAAAATCAACCTTCTTTAAGAAGAGTGCCCCCCCACATGCACACCAGTTGCACTGGAGGCTACCAGCACCCCCTGGAAGTGTGTGACAAGGTGTGACAGGCCTGCATTCTGCTTATTTGCTCCATGTTCAGGCAGTTTCTGATACGGTTGCTTGATAGTGTTGAGATTATATGTCTAAAATATTCGTTCTTATTCTTGGTAGTGGATCTCTATATATTTGAGACACTAATTTTAAGAGGCATGATTATTAACCTTTGTGTAAATGAGATGAAAAGCATAAATTAGTGAACTAACGTTGTCATTAACCTCTGATAAATCAGTAGTACTCTAAAAGAAGAAGCAAACCGTTGACAGTATATTGCCCACCCAAAGCAAAATGAGGGCCCAGAGATAGGAAAGCAGGTAAGGCACGTATGCAGCTGACCCAGATTTGATCCCCAGTACCACATGTGGTACCCTGGGTACCACCAGGAGAGCCCTGATTGTGCCCTTCCAAAAAATTTTAAAAATAAATGGAAGTAGCATTTCTAAAATTGTCTTTCCATGTCTCCAAGTACCACACCTGGAGTATATTTCCAAATTGATTATGAATAAGTTATTTTGTAAATCAAAGACATGACTATTTTTCAAATTTGAAAGCTATAACTTGAATTGGAAGAGAAAAGTAAAAAGTGCTATGTTCCCAACTTACTTCTGATGCGGATGGAGAAGCAAGTGGGTATTAAAAGGTTAAATTACAGCTAAGTCACCTGACATTCCAGTGTGCTTTCCGGGAGTCTCTCCTTATGTGTTCACGAAACCCTTATACTACCATGGTCTGAAAATATAATAAATAGTAAGATATTCTGAGAGACACCACACTCTCCAAACTTGGACTAAGTTCTATTTTTGTTCTGCTTTGTTTTGGGGACCACACCTAGAGGTGATCAGGGCTTACCCCTGGCTCTGTGCTCAAGTGTCACTCCTGGTGGGGCTCAGGAAAGCATATGGAGTTCCAGGGATGAAACATTGAGGAGGCTGCACATATGACAGATGCCCTACCCACTGTACTATCTCTCTGGCCCTCACATATTGTTTTAATGTTCTATTTTATTATTAGTTACTGCTTTCTCTTCCTATGCCTAATTTGTACATTCGACTCTCATTGAGGTTGTGGGGAAGGCTATCCATGGGGAGTAGGAGCACATGCCCTGAAGACTATGGGAGATAACAGTGAACCCTAGAGAGAAAACGCACAGGGGAAAGAGGTGAAGCATGTATTGTGCAGGTCTGCTCCATGTTGGGCAGGGCAGGGCCAGGGAGGAAGCAGGAGGTGGCTACATAGGGCCGCTCATCCTGATCCTGTCCCTGGCTGTCTCGGGCACCCTCTTGGCTTCTGCTAGCATGCCCTGAAACAGAGACCCTGACTTGTTTTTTGCTTCACTTCCCTTTTGTTTGCTTGGTTGATTCATTTTGGGGAAGGGTCACACCCTGTGGTGCTTATTTTGATGCTCAGGAGGGGTTCTGGGGGTGCTACCCAGGACATCACAAGCCTTTTGAGCTCTCTACATCCCCCTTCACTCCTTTCTTGCCGCCCACCCTGAGCCTCCGTGCTGTGCCTAGTCAAGGACTCGGAGCTGGGGCAGCTGTGAAGAAAGGAGCAGGCAGACATGCTCCATCTTGCACGGTGGCAGGTAGAAAGCCTTTGACTAACATGCCATCCAGGCCTGTCTAATGTGTTAATTTCTTATGGTTCTCTGCTTGTGACTAGTGAGAACACTCATAAATGGTAACCCTGCCCTTCATTAGCAGCGGGCCTTTGATCCTTCCTGCAAACAGCCCAGGGTTTTCTCCATGCGGTGAGGCTCCCTCTGGGGCCCCTCGCTCCAAAGGCAGGAAAGCCTCAGATCCATCGCCAAGAACAGGTCCAGATCGGCGCCTGGTCAGAGTTCCAGGAAGACTGGCCAGGCCGCGCCTGCGCAGAGGAGTCTCCCAGAAGCCCTCCCGGCCAGTCCTGGCCAGGCTGCACCCAGTGAGGCTGCCAGAGCAAAGGTGCTGTGGAAGAGGGCCCTGGGCTCTGGGCTTGTGGCAAGGGGACAGCAATCATTGAAGGTCTCTGTAGCCCCAATAAAAGGACAGGGGAGGCGATTCCATGAGACTGTGTCCATCTCCCCGGGAGTCTCTGTTCTGGGCAATGGTCCTTTCCCCATAAGAAAAACCCAGGCCCCCTGAAACAAATTCAATCAGCAGTTTTAAAGAGGCACGGCCAAGCTACAACATTTCACAAAACCCTTCTCACAAAACCTTCAATGTGAAACCCGGTGGTACCACTTGGATTTGAAAGTCGCCCAGCAGGCTGCCAGGGCGTTTTGAGCATTCCAACTGTGATGGGTCTTTCGTTCGGTTTAGTGATGAACTCCTTCAGGGCCATGATTCTGAGCTCAAGGAACATGCCCTAGACAGTAGAGCAGCTGCTCTAGGGCAGAGCCCCCACAGAGGCAGCTGCAGGCAGCCTGTCATCTCTGTCTTTCTTAGTCAAGAGCTGCTCTGAGCCATGGTGCTCTTATCCGCAAAGGGATCTCGTAAGACCAGCTCCTGGCATTGCCTTGACATGAATAAATACATGAGCCTGAGGATGTGACTCTGGCAGTTGCCTCGCTTGCGTGAGGCCGGGAGTCAACCCACATCACCTTGTGTGAGTCTGAACCCGAAGGAGCAACAAAGCACAGGAAAGGGAGCAGGAGCAAGTGTCCATTAGGTGTCTCTGGTGACATCAGGAGCTCAGCAGAATTCCTAGGACTCTGCCCTGGGAAGCAGAGACCTTCACTAGGACACCTCCCAGCCTGGTGTCCATCGTGTCCCTCTCCCTTTAGGAGGGACTGAAGAAGGTGCCAATAGCAGGGAAGGATCCTAGTCATGGCTGTAGGAAGCAGCAAAGGGCACGTAGTGATTCTGCCCAATCCTGCTCCTCTGTTTTCTCCTCTGTAAAATGGAGCTGAACAGTCAAACCATAGATCCATGTTAAAAAATAATGTTGTTCTCTCTACACACATATTATGGACACGAAGATGGAGTGGGGTGGCGTTGGTGGGATGGATGTCATGGAGGGGTGACAATTGTGGGGGGCGGGGGGTGACAGTGATGGAGATGTGACAAGGTCGAGGATTGTGGTAGGGATATGACCGTGGTGAGGATGGTGGTGGGGATGAGATAATGGTGGTTGGGGGTGTGACAATCATATGAAAGTGTCCAGGAGGGACTCTTGCGATAGCACAGCAGGTAGGGCATTTGCCTTGTATGTGACCAACCCAGATTTGGTCCCCAGCATCCCATCTAGTCCCCTGAGACTGCCAGGAGTGATTCCTGAGTGCAGAGCCAGGAGTAAACCCTGAGCATCACTGAGTGTGGCCTCCAAAAAAATAAATAGAATAGTGGTGGGGATACGAGAGTGGTGGGGGTGGGGATATGACAATGTCGAGGATGGGGGATGGGCTATGACAATAGTGGAGATGTGAGAACATGGACAATGGGGGTGAGATGTCACAATAATGGGGTATGTGACAGCAGAGGGTGTGATGGGGGACGTGACAATGTTTAGAGGGGTGGGGAATGGTGAGAAGGAGGAGGATGTTCTATGAACAGTGATCACTTCCTTCCCTCTTTTAGGTGTCCCAAGAGGTAGCCCAAGGTTGGTGTAAAGAAAAGGATATTCCTTACTTTGAAGTCAGTGCCAAGAGTGACTTCAATGTGGTCCAAGCCTTCGAGATGCTGGCCGGTCGGGCTCTGTGCAGAGTGAGTGGCACCAGGGAATGGGGGCTGGGACTTCCAGGGGACAAACCGGCCCTGGTGGGGTGTGGGTAGAGCCGGTTACTCTATGTTTCTGAGAGGCCTCGACTGTCCCCTCTCTGGAATCAGCACTGCTGTTCTCAGCTGCCATGGAGAAGAGTGTGATGGATCCTGGACTGGGTCGTTTCCTCCAGCCTCAGCCCGAGGTGCTGAATGATCCCGGGCCTGCGAGGCAGACTGAGTGCTCACCAGGAGCCCTCAGGAGCCTAGGACCTGCCCACGGCACTGTCAAGGCTGCAGGGGTTGGCACCCTCAGGAACAGGGTGCTTCATGCAGTCTCTGGGGCAGTCACTCAGCAGGCAGGAGCAAGTGACAGGAAGGAGCACTGCAGGGGCTCAGCCTGCTCTCCTGAGTGGCAATATAGGTGAGCAAGCAAGGCAGCTCCTGGGGACAGACAAAGTGCTGGGTACAGGGTTCAGGCGAGGTCCTGAGTACAGGCGAGCTCCTAGGTCTTGGGCAAGGCCCCGGATACTTCCAGGTAGCACAGTTGACCACTTCAGCACACCAGGACTCCCCTGGGACCCGAGAGTCTATGTAGCAGGTCTTTCTGCTGTGCCACGTTACTCAGAAATTCAGAGGAGAAGCACTCACCTTTACAAGAGGATAACTCAGCCAGGGACACTGCCCAATGGGCTGAGCACAGGCTTTGTGTGCAGGGACCCAGGTCCATTGCCCCCTGCACCACATGGTCCCCTACCCAATTCTTCAACTGGGAGCACATAGTGTGACGCAAATTATTTTGAGAAAGTAAGTAAATAAATAAATAAAGCCTACGAGGGGCCAGGGCCAGGCAGGCTACTCCAGAGGGCACTGGCCTTGACTGTGTGAGGCTCAGGCAGATTGAAAAAGAAAAAAAAATAAACAATGCAAACTTCCAAGGGCAAGAAATGCAAATGTATGCATATTTCCCAGTCATTTTTTTCCCAGTCATTTTAAAACTGAAGCTTGCAAATTAATTTTTTAAGGTTAAGAGAGTTTTCCAAGACAGTGAGTGAACCAAGGAGGACCCAGCTCTTGCCTGAATCCTGGGTCACCTTCTTCTGTTTCTGGTGTCTGTAAGCAACTTCTGCGAATGGCCTAAAGCACCACTTTCCACTCTTTAAAGTACTAATAATAAATAATACCTCGCCTGGGCCTGGCTGCTGGGAGCCACAGGAAACCCTAGCAGAGCCCAGGAAAGGCGTTAAGCAGAGCAGGCTGTGTGCAAACGGCACCAGGGCTGAGTGCCCAGATCCTGCCCAGCGCAGCCACGAGAGGCACTGAGGCATGCAGGCGGCTGCTTCGAGATGCTTCAGAGATAGAACCAACAGGGCTGGTGGTGATGAAATATGGGAAAGAGGCGATCGGGGGCCTGGTTACTAGCTTGGCAACTGGAAAGCCGTGGGTCTGGGGTACCCTGGACCCGAATAGAGAGGAGGGAGAGTAGACACCGCTCAGGGGGCATCGTAGTCCATCCGGTTTGGCCCTCAGCTTCCTGAGGTGCGTGCCAACGAGGCAGGAGTGCCAGTGACTCAGCCTGGACAGTGCTCCGTGGCCTGCTCGGAGGAGAGGAGCAGCCCAAGCTGCTCAAGAGCCTTGTTATTCCCCGAAGGGTGAGAGGAGCACCTTGGCAGGAGCCATGGGCTTGGTCTTCCCCAGACTCGGGGCAGGAGCTGCTGCAGAAGGCGGCCATCTGTGGCCTCCTTTGAACACTGGAGAAAGACTCGGCTACCTTGGCTGGGGGAGACAGGCTGGCTGCAGGCGAGCTTGGTGAGGTGACAGGAAATGGCTGGGCCCTCAGGAGGCAGGATGTAAAGGCAGGACGTGGAGGGGATGGGACCCAAAGACACCTCCTCCCCCACACTCACACCCTTACAATGACACCCAGTCACCCTTGTGAGACTCAGAGGACCACGGCCTGCAAGGGAATCGCAGCAGGAAACACATTACAGCTGCGGGTCACTGGCGGTGTCCAGGAGACCTCAGGGGTGAGAGAGGCCATGGCGGGATGGGAAGTGCAGAGGGACATTCTGGGCAGGCAGGTGGGTGCCAAGAAGAGGGTGGGTGCCAGACCTCAGCCCTGGCATGCCCTTGGCGAGTGTCCTGTCCACCAGGACAGGTCGTCCCTGCAGTAAAGCCCTGGGCACTGCTGCCTGCAGTGGTGGCACAAGCCTCTGAGCTTCGTAGAGCTCCTGATGGCCATCAACTGGCTTTGGCTTTCACGGGGACAGAGGTCCCAGGAAAAGTGCCAAACTCATGGTTCTTCCCAGCGCCTGCCTGAATAGGGATCTATCGGCAAAAATGGAAAAGGGGGTGCGGAGAACCCAGTGGTCTGTTTTTTTTCTTTTTGGGTCACACCCAGCATTGGCCCAGGGGTTACTCCTGAGTTTGCACTCAGGAATTACTCCTGGAGGTGCTCGGGGGACCATATGGGATGCTGGGAATGGAACCCGGTCACCCACATGCAAGGCAAACACCCTACCCGCTGTGCTATCGCTCTCAGCCCCTCAGTGGTCTTTAAGGGGCCAAGACGGCACTTCCTTTGTCCTCCAGAGTTTCCTAAATGTCAAGATTTTAACAGTTGAGCCGGTGACCCTTCCCTATGTAGTTGGCGGAGTCCATGGGGGGGGTCTCCAGAGCTGGTGGCCCAAGCCCACCTCACTCTCACCGAGGCCTGAGTGCTGCTGGGGTGCAGACCACACAGGTGGGGCTTTTACTCTCTCAGGGCACCTGAGGCCTCTCCCGACTCTGAGGGGGATGAGCTGGGCATTCCAGAGGGCTCTGGGAGGAAGGCCTGGAGTCTTCTCCTCTTAAAATACCTCATGCTCAGGCTCAGCTCTAAGGCTTCCAACGGATGTGCTGAGTTCAGGCTGACAGAGGGCAGCTGACACACCGCTGGCCCCAAGGCTCCCAGGGAAGACTGAGACACGGGCGGTCTCCCAGGACAGTCCAGACCCAGGTCAGGACTGAGCCCAGTGCCCGAAGCAGCCTGCCCCAGGCTTGGCGACCGGCTCTGTCTGCAGCGGCAGTTAATGAGGGTCTTCTCCTGCATTTTGGGCAGCCGCCATGGCAGAATGCAGCAAGCAGGGCCTGACACTCCCTGCATGTGTCACTAGGGGTAGGGCTGAAATGCGCTTGCAGTCCCAGCCAGCCCGAAGGGGAAGAAGCAGAGAGAAAGTCTCCACTGTGGAGCTCCATGCGAGGGCCGCTGGAGACAGAGCTGACCACAGCTCCACCTAACATGTGGCTCTCAGACAGGCCATCCAGGAAGGTGTCCCAGGGTGCCCAGCCTGCTCTCCCCTCACATTGCTCACAAGACCAGCTCATGCTCCCGAACTTCCCTAAGGACCCCCCTGGAGACCCCAGATGCAGAGAAAGGCCCCCTGTCCCAGCCCTGCCCCAGGGTGGGTGGTCCCTGACCGGTGTGCCCCTGACTGAGTTGGTTTTTCCTGGACAGAGAAGGCGGGCAGAGGGCAGAGGGCATGAAGGCCCCTTGGCAAATGAGAACAAGGTGTCCTGGGCCTCCTCAGGAGCAGGGGGTTGCAGTGGAGAGAAGGGAGGCATGAAGGGCTCTGGGGAGCAGTCTAGCAGAAAGGGGGCTGCCATCAGGCCTCCTGTCTGGAAAACATGACTCAGCTGGGTGAGGTCTGGCCCCTGGCCCAGCCACGGGACCGCTCTGGGATCCAGGAAGACACTGGAGGCAATGGGGAGGAGGGGCAGTGGGGAGCCCCAGCATCCTGCTCTGCCCCTATCCCCCAGCAGCAGAGCTTGCCCCTGGCCGCTGGCGCAGGGACCGAGGGATACTGACGTCCCCTTCCTCCCCCAGTACCGGAGCATCCTGGACAATTACCTCACAGACTCCGTCAAGCTCTCCCCCGAAGACCCGTCCCAGAGGCGATGCTGCTAGTCCTGACTCCCTCGGAGCCACTGAGCCTGGTCACCCCAGGCCCCACGACGCCAGCACTGCCCAGGCACGTGGCCTGATGCCCCAGGACTGTGCCGAGCCTGCCACCAGAGAACTGGTGATGGCTTGGGCGGAGACCCAAACTGCCACAGCCAGGCCCTGGCCCTGGAGAGTCGCCGGCCACTCTCCTCAGATCCCCTCCTGCCCCGACGGCTCCTGGCCCGCTCCGAGACTGAACTTTGTCACCACCCACCGCGCGGGACCAGGTGCAGCTCAGCCACCTTGAGGGACCATGGTCGGAGGTGTGGAACTCTGCTGCTGAAACTTTGGGGAGCTGCCCTTCCAGACGCTCAGGAAGAGCACGGGGGTCCCAGGAAGACCCCAGGAGTCTCTCGAACCCAGACTGTGCTTCATTTACCTCGCAGCAGGCCTGGAACCCCACAGCCCTGCTCACCTCTTGGTTGTTCTCCCAGGCCTCACACTGCTGAGGGAGAAAGGCAAGCGACACGGACTTTAAGCCAGTATTTCCAACTAGCAGCAATTGCTTGAGAGAGGTGAAATAACCCGATCGAGAGGGACGGGAAGGGCTAGGACTGGGGGCTGTTTCAGACTAAGTAGTCCTGGAGGGCTTTCCTGAGGAGGCAGCATTTAGCCTGAGGTCAAGAGAATAAGAAAGGGGCTGCCACCTGAGATCTGGACAAAGAGCATTCCAGAGAGAGGGAGCAGCAAGGGTCAATGCCTGACTGAGACAAGGACGAGCTTGGAACACAGAAAGGACACTCACCCCTGGACGGTTTGTTGCGCCTCTGCCAACATGCCACGAGAGGGCAGTAGTGCTCCTTCAGGCTCAGGCTCAGTGGCGAGCCCCTTGTGGTAAAGCTCAAAGACAGCTCTGGGCATCCTCAGCCCTTGGAAATTGGTCAGGAGGAGAATCCCATAAGAAATAGACCAAAACTGCTGTCACTGTCACTGTTCTCCCATTGTTCATCGATTTGCTGGAGCGGGCCCAGTAACGTCTCCACTGTGAGACTTGTTACTGTGTTTGGCATATCGAATACGTCACGGGTAGCTCGCGTGAGGGCGAGATACTCTCAGTAGCTTGCTGGGCTCTCCAAGAGGGGTGGAGGAATCGAACTTGGGTCGACCATGTTGGCCGCTTGTAAGGCAAATGCCCTACCACTGTGCTATCGCTCCAGCCCACCAAGACTGCTACATTGGTGATTCAGGCAAGATCCACATAGGGAGGCTCAGCAGGCTGAGCGCAGGCCTTCATGCTGGAGGCCTGGATTTGACCCCGGCACTGTATATGGTCCCCTGAGCACAGGCAGGGGAAATGCCCAAGCTCAGAGCTGGGAGCTGAATACAGCCAGGAGGGTCTGACGATTTTTGAATTTTAATTAAATATATTTAATTTTTTTAAAGTACACTTTGTTGACCAGTACTAGAGTAAAGCAGACTCTAAGGTCAGAATCTCTGACCTGGCTGTGGCCGCATAGACAGATGCAGCCCAGCCTGGAGGAGCAAACAGGATGACCCCTCAGGATTCCTGGGGGGCTCCTGGGGTCACACGCTGCTCCTGCCTCAAGCACTGACTCTGGATCTGTATGGAGGGTGCAGAAGAGTCAGCGCAGGGTCTGGAGGCCCTTGTCCCTGCTCCCCTTGGCTGAGGGTAAGACCTGGCCCTGGCCCGTCCCTCTAGGGCGCTCCCGTCTCAGTGGCATGGAGGTATGAAGCGTGGGCGGTGCGTGCGCAGAGGGCTGGGGCAGTGACGTGGCCATGTGGACCGTTTCCAAATGTGAGCAACAAATAATAAAGGTGTCCTTTGGATCCTTTGTGTATTCGCCATTCACATTTAAAACACACACACACACACACACACACACACATCTCCATAGTTCAAAGTTCAGACCATACTAAAGGGAAGACCAGGGAAATGGCCAGCTGCAGAGCTAGTCAAGGCCGGTGAGAGATGGAAAGGCGGGTGCCTTGTCTAAGATGTGGGAAGAACCAAGGGACCATGACAGCAGCCCGCAGGGCCCCCTGGGCCTCGCTGCATGCAGCCTGAGGCATGCCCAGACATAGGGATCAACTGGAGAACATGCAAGGGGGCTGGAACTCAGCACTTCCTGGACCCCTTCAGAGAAAAGACCACCCTGGTCTCACCTCTCCTGTGCTCCCAGCCCATCCCAAATCCCTGCCCCCAAAACACGGACATCACACACATTCACACACAAACACACGGACATCACATACATTCACACACAAACACACAGACCACACACATTCACATATACACATACTCAAGCACACAATCCACCACACACATTCACACAGAAACACACAGACATCAGACGCATTCACACAAACACAGACCACACACATTCACGTATACACATACACAAGCACACAATCCACCACACACATTCACACACATACACAAACACAATCACCACACACATCTACATATATACACGTACATACATGCATGTAAACACTCACAAGCACACATACACATCACATATACCCGCACACATAAACACACATACATAAATACACAGAGACACAAAGACATGCATACACGTGCATGTATACATGCATAGCTACATGCACACGGGCACACCCAAACACATGCAACACATATGCACATGTGCACACATACATAAACATGCGTGTGCATATATACTCGTATGCACACATACACAAGCCACATATGGGTGTAACACATGCATACATATACAGTCACAGAAATGCATGCACATATGAACACATGCACACATGAGCTCTCACATACATGCCCTCACATGTGTGCTTGCAGCTCAGCTCCCAGAGGCAAGGCAAGGCTGCTGCTAAACCCAGCCAGGACTCTGGAGGCATATGCCCTTGGGCTTGGGGTAAAACAAAACCAAATCTTATCGTACTACCCAAGGGGACTCGGGGAACCACAAATTCTGCTATCTGCTCCCGCTCAGTGTTCTGCAGACGTCCCATCACTGCTTCGCCATCTGAATGTGCACTTGGCATAGAGGCCAGTGCTGTCGTGTGGCAGGACAGTAACCCACCCCGCATTGCCACAGAGGAGCAAAAATGTGTCCTCGCAGGGAAAGGAGTCCGAGCCACCAAATTACCTCAAAAGCAAAGGAAGCTACATACAGACACACTTGCCTGTCCAGAAGAGGCCGGGAAAAGCCAGTTCACATTTGCCAGTGCAGAGAAAATAGGAAAAGACTGTGTTACGGAGAACAGAAGTGGCCGCTGCACAGGCAAGCGAGTGTCGGGAGTGGGCGCGGGATGTTTGCTTGTATAGCTTCACACTTTGAACTCAGTTAAGGAATTCCTCAATCATTGTATTGAAGGAAAATGAGTATTGACGGGAGGGAGGGAGAAAGCAGCAGGACGAGGGGCTGCGACTCCCAGCAGGGCCTCCTTCCCCACCGACACATCACATGGCCATGGGCAAGCGCCAGTCGCGGTCCCCAGCGCTGAGAAGCACAAACACCTAAGCGGCGTCCAGCCACACACCCACACGACCTCCCAGGCGGGGCAAGACAGCCCGGAGGTGTTTTTGTTCTCCCAGTAGAGGTTCCTGTCCCAGCAGCTGCCTGTCGATAACAGACAGGAGTTTCCAAGCGGAGGCTCAGTTCTAGAGATAGACTGCTGAGAATTACTGAATGAGCAGGTGCACAGGGCCATGGGGCTTCCCAGGACTCAACTCAGGGTTCACCAGTCAGGCAACGCTGCAGAGCCCCTGCCCTAAACCCACCGCAGGCCCCTGAAAAGACACCCAGGCCCCCTGGCACGTCTGTGCATGGTGGGCAGCAAGTACGAAGAGCAAGAGCAGCCCATGGCAATAGTTCCGGCCCCGCGTCACTGTGGCCACATGCAGGAGTTCTGTTTATAGCACCGTTTGAAATAGGAGAGAGGCTGGAAGTGGCCTAGACATCCTTCAACAGGAAACTGGGTGAATAAAACGTAGGCTACTCAGTAGTGGGATTTCACAGCATAGAAATGAATACACTAAAGTCACATGCTGTAACCCGCCGGGAAGGATTTTCCAAATGACTCTGGGAAGCATTTGGAAAATTACAAGTCAGGCAAGATGGTCTGTATCGGGCTGGAGCAATAGTACAGCGGGTAGGGCATTTGCCTTGCACGCGACCGACTTGGGTTCGATTCCCAGCAACCCATATGGTCCCCAGAGTACCGCCAGGAGGAATTCCTGAGTGCAGAGCCAGGAGTAACCCCTGAGCATCACTAGGTGTGACCCAAAAAGCCAAAAAAAAGATGTCTGTATCCCATTTACGTAAAGTTCCAAACCAAGCCCATCTAAGTTGATCGCCACAGTTATCACAACCTCAGACGGTGAAGTAACAGAACACAGCAATAAAAGGAAATGAAGAACCCAAAATTCAGGTGGTCTGGGATGAGGGCTGAGTGAAGGGATGTGGGGGAACACATTTGGGGCCAAACCCACAAGGTTTTTGGATGCTGCACGGAACGATCAGCTCCTTCAACTGGTACTGGGGCCACAGACACCCAGAATGATGCTTCACGTAGTAGAAATATGTGACTCTTACTCCTTTTTATGGCTCATTATTGAAAATTGAAATTTTTTTTAACTCTGGAAGTCAAGTAGGCCTGGGTTTGCATCCTGGATTTGCTTCCAAAAGCCAGGATACAAACCCTGTGTGGTGTGTCACTGCCCCACTGTCCCCCTAGAGAGCCCATCTCTCCGATGGTGATGTCAGTGTCCCTTCCGAACTGCATGCACCCCTGCATCTCAGCGTCAGCTCTGGATGGAGGCGCCTAAGGGCTCAGGATCAGCCGTGGGTGTTTTCTTTAACTGTGATTCGGCACACAGAATCCGGATCCCAATGACACAATGAACAAGAACAAAACAGACAAGCAAACAGGTTTTACTCTTCCTACAGACCTCAGAGGTGCAAATCTCTGGTGAGCAGTGTCATCACTTAAGACAAAACACAGAATACCGGGGGCTGAAACAATAACACAGCGGGTAGGGTGTTTGCCTTGCACGATGCCGACCCGGGT